CGATTTAGTCGCCTTCGCGCAAGGCAGTGTTGGCTTGAGTGGAGATGTAATCCATGCACGCAAGTCCTTCTGACAGTCAACCTGTTGCAGTGGTCTGCCGTGTTGAAATTAAGTCCTGAGGCTGGAGGCTCTGAAGATGCCGGGTTGGAGAAAGTTGCACTTGCTTATATTAAAGGGCATAAGCCAGCGCTTCGACCAGTCTTTGAGCCTGTTCAAGTTTGCTTGCAGGTGGTCTGCGTCTGCCCCATTGTGAATAACTTTCCACAATTTCATGCCGCCTGTAAACAGGATGACGTCATAGTCTAGGTCCTTGACGCAGTCATTTATGAAAACGAGGAACAACGTGGGGCCTAAGACTGAGCCCAGTGGGACGCCACTCACCACGCTTACCTGTGAGGTGTTGTCGCCCGACCTGCACTCTTTGGGACCGTCCAGTCAAAAAGTTCTGGATCCATGCAAGAAGGCGCCCACGAATTTCAGCGTTGGGCCGTTTGCGCAAGAGACCTTGGTGAGGAACGCTATCGAAGTACTTTTTGAAGTCGATGTAGATTGGGTGCACCACATTGCCTTCATCGCGTGCTTACGTCCAGCATTCGAGCGTAAAGATCAGATTCAATAGTCAGGTCCTACCACTTCAAAAGCCGTGTTAGGCATCGGAGAGGAGGGGATGCTGCTCGAGGAACTGCACCATGGCCTCCTTAATGATCTCCTCCATGATTTTCAGCAGATGGAGGTAAGACTCACTGGCCTGTAGTTATTCGCAGACGCACGACTTCTACCTTTAAAAAGCAGAATGATTGTGGCGGACTTCCAATCAGAAGGCAGACACCAACTGAAAAATGATGTTTGGAAGATCAAGGCTAACGGTTTGGACATTTCGGGAGCTAGCTCCTTCAGCAGCTGGGCGGGGATTGCATCAGGACCTGGGAAAGTCGATTCTTTCAGGTTTAGCAACTCTTTCTGAACGATTGTTTCGGTGAATAAGACTGCTTTGAGGGTAGGCTTTTCTTCGTCTTCACAAGTGGGTGAGAAAGAGTCAGGTTCCCCTTTCACGACGGACCGGCAGAACTGAGAGAGATGTTCAGCTTTATCATTGTCATCTGAGATTTCCGTACCTTCGCCCGTGCGCAGCAGTGGAATGGGATCTTTGTTCCGTGTACTTTGTCTTATGTGGCTGTGGAGGACTTTGGGATTAACCATGACAGGGTTCAAAAGATCCTTTCTAAATGCTTTCCAATCTCTGGCGATAAAAATTTTGCCCTATTTTTCTGTAACTTAAAACCGCTTAGGGATTCTGTCGTCCAGACAATTAGGGATATTTTCCATAGCTTCCTCTTCTCGTTAACTTCCTTCTTTAAGGACGGACTCAACCAGCGGGATCTATTCGTTAGTCTTCTGCGTATGATTGGGCAGTGGTTGGAGATGAGACTGTGGACTATCTTTCTGAACTGACACCAAGCTTCTTCGATATCGTCGGAGAGAGTGGATGCCCAGTCGATATGACGAAGATCCTTTTTCATCTCTTCAAAATCGCCGCGCCAAATATTAGGTCGGGAATCGAGCGGCTGTGCAGGCAAGGGAAAATACGGTGCATTCTCACATGAGAACTATATGGTCACTCTGACCCAACGGGGAAAGGCAATTCACAATGTCTATGTTATCAGACCACTTGGTGAACACAAGACCGAGGTATTTCATTTGTTGGCCCTATCGAACTCTCGTTGGAGACATTACGTGCTGGGTGAGAAGCAGATTGTCGGAGGGATTAAACAGCTGCTGGTCGGATGCTGTTTTAGAGCGGTCGGCTGAGGCCGAGTTCCAGTTTATGTGAGGTACATTAAAATCCCCAACGATGAGAGTATTCGGCGGAATTGAAAAAAATCTGAGCTCATCCAGCAGTTGGGCGTCACCATCAGGGTCATTTCTCGGGGGACGACATGCTGTCAAGATATCGAGGCTTTGAGAGCCCGGTGCCCTTATGGTCAGCCATAATGCTTCCGTGCCACAAGTCAATTTGGCCGTTTTTTCTGAAACGAACAAGCCATTATTAACTAATGTTACTATGCCTCCACCCCTTCCGTTTTCTCTGTCGCTGCGGATCAGTTGAAATCCAGGGAGCATGAGCTCCCTATCACCAAAATGTTCGGACAACAGCGTTTCTGTTATTGAAATAACGTCTGTGTGGAGGTTGTGGATATGGATACGAAGATCATCCAGTTTTGAAAGTACACTGAGCGTTATTATAAATAAATATGAGTTTTGAGTTCATGTGAGATTTTTTACAACCCCGACACAGGCTACTGGGGTATCCGTGCGGCCATTCGGATCGGCTTCATTCAGAGGGGAGCAGAATACCGTTTTACTAGCCTGTCTTTGTAGTTTGTCAAGTTTTTTCTCCGTTGTTTTGTCGTGTTCTCAATTATAGGACAAGTTAGCGGCGTTTCATTCTCTCGGCAGGTGAGTAGTCCGGCTGAAAAAACACTCCTTTTTGGGAATGCTTCGGTCGAAAACGACCGGATATGATTAGTTTCTCCTACTCACTGCTACCTAGGACGATTTTTAGGGGTCGTGGTCGCGTCTGTGGAGCGGCGTTTGTACAGCTACCAAGACGAAACGCCTTTAGGACAGTGACATCTTCTGCTGGTTGCAGCATTTCATTTAGGAGTTGCTGGAATTGCTCTATGTCAGCAGCGACTCTTCATTATCGTCTGCATTATCGTCATGACATAGTCAATTCCGTAAGGAATTCGACTACTCTTAGTGTTGATATCTTTAAACTCAACAACACGCCGTGTATGCAATCACCCCTACCGACCCCCCAGCAACCCCTAGCAAACATAAGCAAATGCCTAAATCAAAGACGAATCCCAGTGCCGTGTCAGCCACTCGAACACCGGGTAAGTCCAGTTCCTTTTAGAAATCTCTTCCTCCACAATCGGCTAACTCTGCATCAAACACCACGGCCCAAATCATAGTATGTTTTCAACTACTCCCCAGACCTCATATCGAAGAGGTTAAGCCCAATACGTCGACATACCTGCCTTTAAATAGACTTTCTGCCCCAATGGAAGCAGCGCGTCCCCCACGCCCTATAATTTTCCCTCCACGGCCGTTTTACCAATGCTTTCCTTATTCTAATGTCCATAATGGGTCAGTTAACTCACCTGTTCTTCACTTTTACTCCGGCAGGAATACGTTACGGTATCCGGCCCGTGGATTTCCAACAGAAAATCAGCCAGCTTGCAATATTGATCAGTTCCCATTCCCGTCATTTCCTCCCTCAAATCCTACTCCTCTTTATTCACGTCAGGGTTTTTTGGATGCTACAGAATATTTTGCAGGACCAGAGAGATGCACCAGGATCATATGTTCCATGGACAGCCAACCACTGGAGAACGTAGTCCATCTTCCTCAGAAACAAACAGTCTTTCCCCATGAACTTTTTGTTCTAAATGTCTGACGCTTGTTAAATAAGATACCTCTGATTCGGACTCGGATGTTCGTTCATTGCCGAGATATTGTTTTAGCAAATGAGGCATGGACAACAGCGTCCGCAGCTGATTCCAAATTCCCTCTAGTAGACGATACTTGCATTCGAAATGGTCGCCAAGACAGCCGTGGCGGGGGCAGTTGCATCTGCGTTAGGCAAACACTTACATTTCTGCCGCTGGACCTCCCGCATTTTTCCGCAGTAGAAGGCAGCTGCTGGCTCCAGGTTGCACTAAAAAATAAGTTCACTTTTCTCGTTAGCTGTGTCTATCGCCCTCCCAATCCCAGTGAGGATTTGATCGTTGTCTCTGGCAGGAATTTTATGCTGCGGCCGATTTAAGCTTTAAGTATCAGTTGGTTTCGGGTGACTTCAATCTGTCTGAAGTCCGTTGGTCTCCGTCCTCCGGCCTCAGGAGGATCGTAAACTTACTTGAGACTGTGGATGTTGAGATGTGGAGTCAGGTTGTCGATTTTCCAACCCGCGGCTCAAGCATACATGACCTAATTTTCTGTAGAGTTTGCATGCCTCTTTCAGTGTCATCCCTAGGCCCATTCGGGGGCTCAGACCATGACATAGTTGTTTCAACGTTAAAACTCGAGGCTGACAAAATTTCACCATTCTTCTTCGATTTCCGATCAGCTCGCTCGGCCGAATTACTAACACGCCTTAATTCCTAAGATTAGACTGATTTCTTTCTAATCTCTGATGTAAATGTTTGCATTACTAAACTATACGAAATTTTGGATTCACTTATTTCTCCTATTTCCCCGACAGAAAATAATTAGTGTCGGAGATGAGTTTTTCCGAGATGCTCTCGGGAATCCTATAGCTGATGTCCAGTTGACCGCTGATAGTTTCAATGCTTTCCTGTCCAAAGCGCTTATTAAAAACTCGATTATTCCGCTTCCGACAGTTCAGGAATGGACCGGGACTTACATTCCGCGGGATGTGAGTGTTGCGATTCAGCGTTTTCGTCAATCTCATAGCCTTGGGACTGATGCTGTCCCAGTTAGCATTTTAAAAGCAGACGCTTGTGCACGATATTTAATCTTGCTTTTGAAAGTACAACTTAGCTTACTTTGTGGAAGGAGCCGCATACTTTGCTCTTGCCAAACACGGTTGTTCTACGTCATTTCATGACTTTCGGCCAATAAACACCCTCCCCGCAGTTACGAAAATCATAGAGACATTGATCAAAGATAATATGATATGTCAATTATCAGAGAATAACCAAATGGACAATCGGTCTTGTAACACCTGTCAGCTCTCCTTATTCGATCATGTTTTTCAGTCCAGGAACAACGGTTTTGCACTTTACACAGTATATTTCGATTTCACTAAGGCTTTTGGTCGTTTTGGCCACGCTCTTCTTCTCCTGAAACTGTCCACTTTCGGAATTGGTGACAAAATTCCGAATTTTATATCCTTTTACGTGAGTTGTCGTACACAACGGGTTAAGATTTCCAACGCTATTTCCAACCCCAAATGTGTGAGTAGTGGAGTCACTGTGATGGTATCTTTCGATGTGATATCACTCTTCACTTCCATCCCACAACATCTCGCGGTTGAAACTGCGCAAACCTTGCTGGAGCAACATTATAACGAGACGGACAACAAACTTAAGATAAAACACCTTGTCGATCTCCTGCAACAATGCTTGAAGACCTTCTTCACCTTCAATGGAACCACATACGAACAAGTTAAAGGTAGACCGATAGGGTCGCCGTTATCCAGCTTGATTGCAGTGTTACAACGACTGGAGGCACTGGCTTTTGACCACTACCGACCACGACTGTGGGTACGGTATTTTGATGACACGTTCGTCATCATCAATCGGGACAGGATTGGGGAATTCACGCAACATCTGAACTTGATTTTCCCGGATATCCAGTTCAAGATGGAAGAGGAAAAAGATTGCCATTTGCCGTTTCTCGACGTACTAGTCCAGAGAAAAGGCAATGGGGGACTAAAAACAGCAGTTTACCAGAAGGCGACGAATACCTCTCGTATTCTGAGTTTTCTCAGCAACCACCCCCTTTCGCACAAACGCAGCTGCGTAAGAACACTCTACCGGCGTGTAGAAACCCATTGCACAGAGCCAGCCGACAAGAAGGCCGAGGCGCAGTTCCTGAGGAAACTCTTCATCACGAACGGCTACCCTGGGAATTTCGTCGAAAAGTGCAGGCGAGAAATCCGGGGAAGAAAAGCGAAGGGGCATCCGAAACCGAAGTGCTGGCGCGCTGTGTCGTACATAGCTGGTTTGTCAGAAGAATTCGCCAGACTCGTGAGCGAATTTGGGATCGGCGTCGCGCACAGACTTGAAGCAACAATCCGCCGGCAACTCATGCAGCCCAAGGACCCGATCCCCATCAATCAGAAATCGGGAGTCGTTTACCGGATAGACTGCAATTGCGGTCAGGCCAGTTATGTTGGTGAAACCGGCGAACAGGCCCGCACGAGATTGCACGAGCATGAATTGGCCGTGAGACGGAACGACAAACTCTCCTTGGTGGCCGCCCACGCTTCATCGCCAGGGCACGCCTTTGACTTCGAGGGCGTGAGAATACTGGGGCAGTCAGACAATCGAGCTGTTCGCCTGCTGTAGGAAGCGTGGCACTCAATTGAGGACACGCTTATCGAGCACTGCGTGAACAAATCAGCAGCGCAGCTGGAGGTCATCCCCGGCGGAGATGAGCTAAATATGCAGTGAGTTGTACAGTATTTTCATTCCTTGACGATGGGCTCGCGTGAGAGTTCGAAACGTCTGACAAATAAACCATTGGTCACAGCGATCGTCTTCCCGTCTTCTTCTATATATATGCATATATATACGTCTAATAGAAGCAAAGAGTTGAGTTCCAGGAAGTAGCCCGAAGAAGGAGACACAATAATTCAGTAGATATAAGGGAGATAGGCATAGCCTTTGAAAACCCTATTTACAGACGCAGACTGAAACATGTGCATGTGCTTAAGTAGCTCTATGGATACATTTTATCAGTTCTTATCAAATAAATTCATGTCCAACATATAAAATGCCATCAACTCTTCTTTTAAACGTCTCAACGCTTTCTGCCAGAAAAACCGAATTTGGTAGTTTGTTCCAATCCACAATCACCCGGTGGGGGATGAAATTCGCCCGCGCCTCAAGCTTGGCGTACTTTGTCTTCAGTTTATATCTGTGACCTCGGAGATTTGTCGTTTGTGCCAGTCCAAAAATCGGCAAATTTGAGTGCACCGTCTACCCGTCTGACAAGTTTGAAGACCACGATTATGTCCCCACTGTATTGCTTAGAATAAAGAGTGAAAAGTTTGGGCCTTTCTAGCCGCTCCTCATAAGGTGGGCTCTTCGGCCCACCGACTAATTTAGTCGTTCTTCGTTGCACCTTCTCCAATGTAAAGCAATCTTGCTCCATACAGGGACTCCATGCCTGAGTGCCATATTCCAAAATCGGCCGTATGAGTGTTCTAAACATTCGACCTAGAAAGCTTTCCGTCAAAGCTAAGGAGGAGCTCCTGATCGCTCCAAGGATGCCCATAGCCTTCTTTTTTGTCGATGGTTGGAACAAAACCTTTGTTACCATGGCGTTTCGGATTCTCACTCGAGTCCATCATCAGAGACGGAATCAAAATACGATAGTGCATCGCGCAGGTGGGCCGCTACATGCTTATCGCAGTTGGCAGTTTCCGAGTGCATCACGGTTCGACTGGCCTGCTGCATCCGTCCAGCATAAATTCTTATATATAAGTCTATAACTCGCAAAGTAGTTTCTACTGCTCTTTGTTTTCTCAGTTTGATGTCTAACGTCTTTAGAATGAGCGGAAAATTTTGACGCGTTTTATTAGTTTTCAGTGTTTTTTGTAGGACATTTTCGGTTTATGTTCGATCCGTCTTACATTTTCAAGTACTTTCGTTTAATACGGCATCTGACAGGATGTCGTACCCGTCATACAGTGTTCCTTTTCTCGTTCCCTCTGGCGGCGTCGGCAGTCGCCTATCGCTTTGCTTTACATTCCAACCCCAGACTCTCGAAATATTGACTTCTACAAAATGAGTCAGAAGTCGCTTTGGATGTGCGACTCTCACATATCACCAAAGAAGGATGTCCTACGATCAGGGATTCTGTGGGTAAATCGGTGAACTGTCAAGTCCAGGGCTATACAACTCATATGCTTTTATCTCTGACTGATAAATGTTCCGCCGGCTTTTCGTCCGATGTTCAGTGAACATTTCCGCTATAAAAACTTTCACAGCTGTTTTGTGCGTGTTTCAGTGACTTATTCTGGTTTAATCCCATGTAGCACAATTGTACATTAGTGCCTGAATAACCTCTTATCATACGACTTGAGCAAGTAAGAAAGCTGACAGGTGCCACGAAAATTTGGCGGCATAATCAATCCGGGGTGTTTAGGGCGATTGTCATGTGGCTCTTGGATGATTGTCCTATTCTGTCTGGCATCTATAATGCGATACCATATTATATGTGTTTTCTGCTGTCTTTTTTGATATTTTTATCACCCATCGACCCAACTCGAGCTGCCCAAGATTTTACGGTGTATCGATTAGCACAATATGATATCCAGGGCTCGGCCATTGGTACGTGTTTAATTTGGACTTATTCTCCCAGGAAGTCGGACCACTACTCTGTCCTGCGACATACAAATTGCTTCTTCCAGAACCTACGCAAGACGTTGTCCTATCGTTAAACTTGCAGAGATCACCGTCGAGGGAATCAAAAACGCGATATTTAATAATGCCGGCGGCATTATTGTTTTACTCCCCTTCGACGAATGGACAGACGGATTGCGTTCGGTATATCTTCAAGTTTTCCCTCTTGACTTCCTTAAGCACTTGCACCACTTAGAAACGGAGCTGAGGTCGGAGGAGCTCCAGGCCCCCGTTTATTTCGCAATCGAGAACGAGTATTCTAAAAATATATACGCCGACCTCCAAAAGATGTCCCACGAATTAGATCAGAATGCAGGATCAGGTTTGCTGTGTCGGGTTTTAGTCACAGAATTAGGCATTTTTGACGCTATTTTTTCGACTGGTTACCGTGTGTATATCAACACCCCACCTCCAGCTCCTCTGAAGAATGTAGAACTCGTAAACATCGAAGGAAAACTAGTTTCTAACACTTTCGACACAAAGAAACCCACAGTGCTTTTGACGGCCTATTACGACGCTGGTGGCGCTATTCCCGTAAGTTTATGCAAAACTTCTCAGTCTTTGAATGTTAGGCATTCTACCATTACGCTCGTTTCTTGCTTTTTTGTTGTTGCGCAACCGATAAAGCCTAATTATGCTTGCCATTTTAAGTTTCCGACGTGAAAAATCAACTTACCCGAACCCCTCAACCATAGTCTTTGGTAGCATATGACTACCCAGGCCACTTACTACCAGGATATTTTTGGCGGTGCTGGAAGCGCGTGTTAATGACAACTACCCGGTTCTGATTAGCAAAATTCTTCACTCATCCACCACTCTCCCATCGACTGTCAAGCCGAAAGCATCGGTAGCCTATTGGTAGCCATGCAGCTCGTGACTGAGGTGTGCAGAAGTTCAGTTCCCCTTTGACGCGCAAATTTTAATCTACCGTGCGTGTGTCTGGCTAGTCCTTCTGCACATTTGTGGATGCTGGTTTGTGCTTGTGGAAGATAACCAAAAACGGAAGGCATTTGACCACCACAGCATGTGAACCATCCTCCAACTAAACTACACCGGTTTCGTCTCTTATGAGACAGTCCGCACTCGCTGCGACAACATTGCAAGGATATCCCAGGCCATTCAAGAAAGACGACTACAGTGGTTCCAACACTTTCTCAGTCCTCTATCTCACGAGCTCACTGTTGCTGCCCTCGACCTGGCACCGTCACCCACTTGTAGGTGTCCAAAAGGGAGCCATTTCAAAGCCCTACACGACACATGAAAGTGGTTCTCGGACCTTCGGCATTTGGTATCCTTCGCCGGCAAAGAGAATGGGTTGAGCTGTGCAGATCTGCAGTCGCGGATCGTCACGCATGGGAAAGTATAGTCCATGCCATCATCGAGGCCGGCTAGATCATACACGATCACAGCCGTACCAAGTACAAGTACAGCAAAGTTATTATTTGAAGTCACCCGATCCAGTCCGGTTACTCCAGCTCGGCAGTGGCCACCATATCACGTTGAGGAAGGCTTTCAACTAATAATTGTAGTTGAGAGTAGGTTTTTCATCCTGCTGGTCGGTAACTAATGTTGCCTCTTGACGATAACCACAGAGGTGTTCGTAAAGTGCCCCATCGGCAGTACGTAAGCTGGCCAGTCATTAACTGGTTGCCTCAGAGAAAATGCATGAATTTCATATTGTGAGGGCATTTCCCACACCGTGTCACGCTGACCGCCATGATGTAGGTCTCGGGATGACTACTTCCTTCGTTGAAATCAGGGTTTTGTTGCCAAAATGGCTCCCTACAAGGTAGCAGACGCTGATTTATGTCTCCCCCACATGCGATTGAAGGAGCGAGCGTTTCTTTGTTTTTAGTGTTTCTCTGATGCAGCATCTTCTTACCAGTCCCGTTCACTTTTTTAGAAAGTAGTTGTCGCATCGCACCCGAGACTGAGGACTTTTGATTGGGACAGTGTCCCACATTCTATACCTTATGTGTATCAGTGACTTCGCCCTGCCAGGAACACCTTTGACTAAATACGGTCTCCGCTTTCCGTATCCTCTTAGATTCCGGGAACTTTGCTTAAAAGTGAGCGTCACTGAAACCAACACAATTTAAATTGTTTTCACACCGCAGATAGTGTCCACTTCTTCTGGGAGGCTGCTGGGTGCGGTTACACTACCACTTCATTTTCCATCCATGCTATCGGCCACCGGGGTCAGAGTTTCCTAAGTGAATTACGCTGGCTTCTCGAGTGAGATAATCCGTACTCTATGGAAAACTGTCACTAGTATATCTCGGAACGTTTGTGAAAGATAGTTAAGGCGATTTTCGCGCGCTCTCCCATCTACCCCACGAGTTCCCTGCCGCTACGCTAAATCCGACATTGATATCCCACAAGTTAACCCCGATAACCCTCAAGGGACGCTTCTGTACAATGTTCGATTCCCGTGATTTGTTTCTGTTCTATATGGTTACCACCGCAAGGTCTTTTTCCCCTCCTTGCTTTTATGACAATTGCATCAGATAGGCATTTTAGCATCACTTCTAACCAGCATTATCATTCCCACTGGTAGAGAAGTTTTTACTCTCCAGTTTCCGTCTTACATCCGTCTTTTTAAAAGTGGTCGGTGAAGCTCATAATTGCATGAGACATTGTCCCTTAGTTGCAATGGCAGTGCTAACTTGCTTGAGGAAAGACTTTTCCTATAATTTAGGCGTTAGCTTACGGTGCTGATGCAAATGCTGGCGGCGTTGCAGTTCTCCTCGAAGTGGCACGCATCATTGGTCAACTTACGGACGCAAAAAATGCTCCAAAGTAAGCGAACGTGCAATGTCTAAAGTTGCAGTTTTTGAAAACCATTCTGTTGCCTTAGTCGGAGAACTATTTCTCGTGCATTTTTAAAATAGCGTTTTATTTCACGTAGCCGTTTCTGGAAAATAATGACTGCTTAAATACTTACTTTTCTATATTCGGTTGGTGATCTAACACGCGAAATATGCCTGATTTAACGAAAAATCCCCAGCTAATCCGAAAACAGCCCGAACGCATCCACCAAAACACCGAACCTGTAGTTAACAAAACACTGACATTGCTCGTGCTGTTAGTGTTTTGTCCGTTCTGTTCCTAAATTACTTATAAGCAGAAAATAAACTGCAGAAAAGTATGTTTTCATGTGTTGAAAATGTAAGGTGACCGTTCAGTGATGGTCATTTTGACGTTGACTTTTGCGGCGTTCGCGAATCTCAGGACGACGTCGAAACGTTTAAACAGGGATTGTCTGTAGGCGCTATTACTGCACTTTGAGGCGCGCAATCACACGGATTTGCAAATCCGACTTCCGAAAATAGTTAAAACTTTTGGTTTTCTAAAAGTAACTTGTTTGTCTGCAACCTGCTTCACACGGTCAACGTATGGCAGAAAGTCAACGTCCTAGTGCAGTAAGTCCTGTTTTCTGAAACTCGAGGCCAAATTACTCTCCTCTCAAAGAAAAAACACGCTCAAATGCAAAAAACTGAGTTTCCGTCAGCTGTTAACATGGATAATCCTCTGGAAATGTCGCAACGTAGATTTCCACTCAAGTTTATAAACACTCTGCCTGATAAAATTACTTAGACACATGCTGCACGAAAAAAAATACATTTCCCGAGAGAATCTGCACGAATGAGCGAAATGCCTAACGATTATCATATCAGTTTCCGTCATTACGTTTCATGAGTTATGTCACATAGTGTAATTTTAGGCTGGCACCTTCCACCGTGTGGCTTATCGGCTAGGCAAAATAGACTATTTTAATTGAAAAGAGAAACCACTAAATTCATTTTTCACTTCTGCCAGGTAGCTTTTTGTTTAAGGCCACCGCTTGAAGCTTGCTCGTCATCTCTTCCTGTTGACTTGTTGCCTTATCTTTTTAGGTATAATATAATTTTCCTGTTAACCAGCGGAGGAAAGTTTAACTTCCTCGGCTCTAGGCGTTGGCTTGAAATGAACTTGGAGGATACAGCTGGCCTCGGTGAGTTAACGCTCCTTTCTGCTTTTTGAAGCCGTTGACTTTTCCACCGGAGCCTAAGCCACGTCCCTGTGATTTACCCTTCTCACTCTCTCTTCGGGTAGACCACACTGACTTTGGTTCTAAAAAACCTTTCAAACCATCCCTTTGATTTGTTGACTGCTCTGCAGCACTCCTTGACTGCGCCTCCTGTCCTTAATGTAATCCAAAGCCATCCCTACTGTCCAGCAATCCTAGATTCAATCACTCAAGTCATTTGCTTGGAGGGCTTGGGGGCCAATTTTGATGATCGTCTGCGCCTGCACGTTTCTCGGATGCCACGAGATGGGAGCTTTAGTCAAAAGCTTGTTTCAGCTCTTGAACTCGCTGCGAAACTTCATCCGCCCTCCGATCCCCACCTCAAGGTACTATGTTCCGCGAATGTCACCATTTTTGACTTGCTTACTGGTTTCAGCCTCGTCGGAGTAAATTTCCAGTTAAAGTAACCCTTACTTCTAAGAAACCCCATCGGTGACAACTGATTCTTTCGACACCTGATTCTATCTCCCCACCCCCTCCCTCAGCAACCTTTTGACAACGAGACCCAAATTGAAGTCGTCCACAAGAAGATAAATCTAAATCAATACGACCTGGCCTGGGAACACGAGCGCTTTTCTCTATACCGTCTGCCCACGGCAACCTTCTCCGCGTGGCCTACTCCCAGTACATATAAGTACCGCCAGTCTGTCCTGGATGGTGGACCTCTCTCCAGCCGGGCTGGTCCGTCCCGAGGCTATTGGGGACCAGTACAACCGGATATTCTCGCTCGCAACACACGGGTCCTCGCGGAGGCGCTCGCGCGTCTTCTCTTTGATGTTGGCTCTGACTCGCCGTCTGCGGAGGAATTTCCACTTATTGACCCGTCGGTAAGTTTAACTGCACCTGTTAACATTGGTTGAATTTACAGGCCAGCCCTGCCCCTGCCACAAAAATGCAATATCACCCTGGTCCTGTCCTACCTATTGCAACACGTGCTTATTGCGTTGCTGACGTACAGCACGTTGTGGACTTGACTGACCTAAAATTCGTGTTTGTGGTAGACTAGTTATCTACCCTACAAGCATCGGCATCAATGCAAATATTTTTTGAGATTGGCAGGATGTCCTCTCTCGAGTCCGGTCCCTGAGCCTTGGATTTCAATATAGCTCCTGAACTCAAATTAAGCTCGGCTGACGAGTGAATTACGCCTACGTACGTAACCCAGGAACAACTTCTTAAGTTTCCCTCTTCTTTTTTGCTGTGAACTAATTTCTGCTTTTGTGCGACCGCCCAGGAGCACACAAAGCGAGTTCTTTCATCGTACAGTCAGATCAACGAAATTCATCATCCATATTGCGCAGACAATTTTCTGCGCTTTTTTCCGAAAATGGGTTTACCTCGATACCTGGGCACCAGTAGCGAGCAGTTCCGACGCTTCTGGAAGATGTGAAGAAGTAATTCCCCTTCGTTTTAATAGTATTTCAACGAAAATACCTCCAAATTTTCTCATGAAAAGAAATTCCGCATTTTGCCTAAACTTAGGGTGTGCGTAAACAACCTGATCATTTAACCTCGTTAGGTGGTTAGGATTTTAGTTTTGACATTGCCCTATCAAAACGCAGCTGTTGTCACGCCAGACCGTTTGACGAGTTGCGTCTACTCATGTACGTGTACTTGCGTGTGGCACAAATTTGATGGAGGCCCACCCCGCATTAGCCACCAGACCCCATGCCTTCCCCAACCGACTTGATTTTCGCGGGCTTCTGGCATATGGGAGAGAGAGAAAAAGGAGTCAGGTCGATCCTAGTCTGACCACTCGTTTAGCCCTCACTAAATAACTAGACCTGCTTTGAAACCATCACGACTTGTTCTTGAAGGACTGCCAATCGACTAGATAAATCGCACCTAATTAGACCTGAGAGCCAGGCTGCGGTGGCCTTATCTTGGTGTGACCTTCGTGGCACTCACTTGTGCTTGACTCATGATCCCCATTAAGGGTGGTTCGTGCATTGCAAGCTTGTCCGCATTATAAACGAACCCACATGCGTGTCACGGCATCGCCTGCCCTTTGGCGCAGTGGTGGGCGTTGCCTCACAGGATGGTTGAGCTGTTGGTGAAGAACACACGTCGGATCAGACAAGAAGGCTTCGTTGTCATTAGATCCGAATTAGATAAATCTGTTTCTTCAGTAATTTGACCAGTGAACCGCCTGATTGCTGGAAAATTCCATTTTGCCACGATGCGAATCAGCAGCCTTATACTCACTTTGTTATTCGAATGATTATCTCTAAGCTCCTCCTCACCGCACAACTCAAAAGCTTTTGTTGAACTCTCTTTTTTCCGTAGTGGGTCACAGCCACGTCATCGGCTGCTATCCTAGACTTTCTGACAATGCACCCCCGAAGCTTGCAACTGCTAGCTGCTTCAACGCACACCGGTTCCGCTGCATCGAGCAACAACGGGCTGGATCTCATCCAGTCATTGGAGCAGCACATGCGTTCCATCCTGCCGGAGGTGAAGCTGTTACGCCACCCTCTTTCTCGACCCGCTGCCGCCTCCGCGTCAGGTGCTCGCACCGGCTCAGACCCCGCAGACAAGACCGGTACCGATGCTGGTGAAGATGTCAGCCTTTCCACCGCTTCTCAGGTTCCCAGTATGGCTGCTGCAGCCAAGGAGGTTGAGATCACGCTCTACTCCGGCGTAGCACCTCAGATTGTTACCGTCTATAGGTAAGCCATTGTTGTGTCCCACCTCCCTTTGTTGTTAGTCCACCCCGACCCATGAAGAACGGTTTTGGTACTGAAACTGACATGTGAACCGGCTTTGACTGGGAAGGGGTTTCTTGATCTTATCCTCCCGCTTTCCTCAGCTCCAAACCAGTCCCAGTAGCAGGGCAGAGTAAAAGAAACTTAAGTTAGGACTTGGGCACTGGGTTTGGCCCTGATTTCACCGCTCTGCATGTGTCGAAAACATTGCTGACTCGATTTCATAGCTACTAAACTGTCTGCTGTTAATCACGTCTACGCAATCGGTCGAACCCTATTTCGCATGTTTATATAGGCATGCATCGGGGGGTTGGGGTTAGGATTCGCTGGATACCATAATATGGTCTTGTCCCGCAGTGCTTTGCGGATAGTGACTTGACAGCTACGGGCAGAGGTTAGTAGGCCATGTGCAATCGTTCGGTGATAGATAATTCGATTAAGGAAGCGGCCTCTCCATGAGTACCCTGCCCACGTCGACGTACTCACGATGTACAACTTAAAAGCCCAGTTTTATATATATTTCTCATCTTCTCTGCTGCGCAGCGTCCACAGCCCACGCCCTTGTTTATGCTGCAAGTTTGGGTGGAAAACGTGTCATTTGTGATATTGTCATAAGCCCCGGCTTAACGTGAGGACTGGAAGATTAATATGAGTTGAAAAGCCTAACCACTACTTTAGTTGCCTGACCTTTCGGACCTTTGTGTGTGCCCACCGCCGGAGACAACAGGAAAAAGCAGCAAATAACTGGTATTTAGTACCTAACCGCGTGTTAACTGTTTGTTTTTTAAATTAAAATCGTACTCCATAGATGTTTTGGCACATTTTGAATATTTCATATTGACCAAACTGTGAAAAACTCGGCGCCTCGGTGGGATTCAAACCCACGGAGTAAGGGGAAGGCATTAGTACAGCCAACGCTCTAACCCGAGTTTTCCACAGTTGGGTCAATATGAATTATTCAAATCTGCCAAAACATCTATGAATTACGTGAGCCTGGTAGTCTTCTGGTGGATTCTAGGTGAATTACTTAGGAAATCCTGCTTGGGCAGTCAACTTGCTCGATCAGATTTGGGGGATTCCAGACGTTGCGGTGGGTTGGGCGGGTAACTTGACCCACATGTGATTAAACTCGCGTCGTCCGGCGAGGTCTCGTAGCTCGGGTGGTTAGGGCGTTGGCTGTACTGAAGCCTTCCCCGTACTGCGTGGGTTCGAATCCCACCGAGGCGCCGAGTTTTTCACAGTTGGGTCAGTATGGAAATCGCACTCATCACCTAGAAATGAGTCGCTCATTCTTCTACCTCACAGAAGCACATACTTCAGTAGATTAGGGGAAGCGTCTTCTAAGTCAACTTCCATTCTACCAAAGGCAACAGTTAGGATCACTGTTTTAAATCGATTTCAGTTAGTGCTGGAAATCTCAAGATAGGTGTTTTGTTAATTAACACGTGCTTTTATATCTTTGAATGTCTTAGAGAAATACCTTCAACTCCATTTTCTAGACTTAAATCCTCGGTCTTCGATTTGGTGATTGCTTGTTCCATTGGAGCCTACCTCTACTGCCTCTACTTCTGTCTGGAGGTGAGTGCCCGCCGCCTGAACTTGTGATTGTCGAGTTACTATTCGCTCTTTCGACACCCGCTGAAATTGGATGGCATGTCTACTCTGAATCATCTAGGACTGGTTTAAATCCTCATAGCCGTCCTTATTTGCGATTTCACAGTTGACACATTTGTCTGAGGAAAAGCCATGAAGCGTACTTTCTGTCTAGACATTTTTCAACGTCTTTGTCCAGTAATCGCCCGTGCAGACTCGTCATCTCAGTGTCTTGCCCCTGGTTTAGGCTGACGGTGAAGTTGGAGTCGCATGTTGCATGTGTTCTTCACGGAATCCTTCCAAATTCTCTTAACCCCGGGAAAATTGTTTGGAAATCGCCCTAGTCACTAGTCAGCCCGCATGTTTTTTATAGGTGGACTTCGCGTGTCTGCGTTTTCTGTTAGATCTCATGCCTCCGGTTTATAGTTATTTCCATCTTTACCACTGTTAAATTCTGTCGTTTGTGGTAGTCAACCCAGCTTGGTTTTTAGGTAACTTAGCGTCTTACTTAATAGGACCCTTCAGCTGGGGAATGCACTTCGCTTAAGTTTCAGGGTCTTTTCCACTCACAATTCTCACAGTAGTGACGGTAGTCTACGACCTGCGAAGAGTTTAACAATCAACACGCATGATACGCATAGTTTCCATTTTAAGTTTTTTTTACCTGTATCTTAGATTCTTAAACGCTTCTCATCACGTACACGCTCTTTTTACAATACAGTTTATTTCTGTAATAGGAGTTTGCATGTTTCACTCGGATTATCCTATTGGTTGAAAGTAAGTTTAAATCCTGAACTCTCTGAAACTGTGAGGCTTTGGAAATTCCTCGCGGGCGCGGCAGAGGATGACGCACATGTTCAATTATTTGACTGAGCTTATACAAATAAACGCATATTATCAGTTCGTAATAATAGTAATAATAATATTAGGTTGTTTGGAAAATACTGTCTAATTCCAGAAACAAGCATTCTTGAAAAGTTTGGCACTGTGTGTGCTGGAGTTAGTCAATGCATCTCGGCATGAGTAATCAACTCAATTTCTGCCTCATCAATAAAAATCCACTGGATTTGGTGCTAAGAAATCTTGGAATCCAGCTTCCAACTCAGCTTTGTTCTTGGAAATTCTGTTGCTTAAAAAGTTCTTGGATGTTTGAAAAAGTTGCTGTCAGTGCGTGAAAGATCGAGAGAGCATAGAGGGTATAGTAAAGTGTCGTATCCCAAGTCATTGAGTTTCTGCATTGTCATCCTGGCAACATTTGGCCGTGCGTTGTCGTGGGGCAGAATTGCGCCTCGTCGACTCACTAGTGCAGTTCTCTTTTTTTTTCAAGTGAACATGTATTTCTTCGAGTTGCCTTCCGTAAGCCTCTGTCGTGATGCTCTTATTAACCTCCAGATAGCTGCGCTGAACAACACCAATAGCAGACAACCAGACCGTCACCATGATCTTCTGTTGATGTAACTTCGATTTTGTGGAATGTTTGGGTGTTTTTTCACGATCAGACATTGCTCTAATCGCCCCCGTTTATCATAAAGCATCCACCATATCACCATTTGATTAAGAAATGCATCATTAGAGTTTTGCTGAGAGACCATCGACCACACTTCAGAACGCCGAACTCTGAGCACATGTGGGACCTATTTATGGGGCTTTTTCGCCTTACCAATTTGCATCATATGGTCGGACATCGTTGAAATACTGACATCAAGTACCCCAGGCATTTCTCTGACACGTTGACGTGGGTATTCTCCAACAGGGGCTTTCAAAAGCTCATTTTCAAGAGTAAATTACTGTCTTCATCTTCAAGGCTCTCATTGCCACTACAGAATTTCTGAAACCACCTTCGTACTGTCCAATCACTTTTGGTCCTTTTTTCCATGTTTTATTCATAGTAACGGCTGTTTGGGAAGCATTATGACCGAGTTTGAGCTCATTCGAGAAAAGTAAATGCATTTCTCCGTCTTTCATTTTCGTTATTAAGGGCTTATATGCTTCAACATTGGACTCCGGAAGAAATTACAGAAGGATTATTAAAAAATACACACCAACTATTAAGCACGTTAACTTTTGGACAAAACACTGCAAAAACAGCGATTACTTTCATTTTTCAAGGGCACGTCTAAAAAATCGCCCAGTATTTTCCGAACAACCTAGTATCTGCCCACCACCACGCCAGGACCCTGACTAGTCTTCCGTGGCGTTGTCTGTAGCATTTTATGTAATGCGGCTTTCAGTATTTAGGGCCGCAGTGTGTAACCACAGTTTTGGGATGTTGGAAGGCTCACTTTTGCTTAGTCGACGACAGTGTAACTCAAACGTTCCAAGGGACTGCCATCACTAGACTCCAGGCAATATTGGCCCACCTCGACTTTTCCCTTAAGCAGATACGTTTGCGTAAATGGGCCCACAATATTCGGTGCGCACGAAACGTGGCCTCCCACTTTCCCGCTCGCAGTTGCATGATGATCTTCTTATTAACTGGAATAATCTATTAAATGAAGCAGAAATTGGCCAATCAGAATATCTTCCTGTCGACTTTTTGTTGGGAAAATCCGCCCATTTAGCATTATGGGTATTACCTAAATACTCCTTTAGTATAGTGTTTTTATGGGAACTTAGTCCTTCTTGAAGATTGAGGTGTAAAATCAGGCGCTTTTCAATCGCTCAAAAACTCGGATATTCTCATGTTCGTGATGCTGCTTACAGAAAAGGCTAACCTTGCCTGTTAGACGTACCTCTAAAAAAGTATAACTGCATGGTTCCGTAACCTTATTAAAACTTAAACCCATCAAAGGGACCATCTTCTCGTACATCCATTTATCAAGGCCAGCTATCCGCACACTTAAAACTAGGAAATTCCGACATCTCCTGGTTATGGCTAAAGTTTTTCCTACATTGATAAAGTGTTTCGACTATTTTGACAGAGAATGTACGTAAGACACTTCTTTCTTACATTTTAGCGTTTTCATCTGGTCGTTCGACTCCTGGCCTATCTCACGAACAATTCGGGCAAGAAGCTCAAGGCCTATTAGGACTAGACATGGACCGATTCCCCTCTCGGCCAACTAGTTTATTCTCACTTTCCAAATAAACGTACATTTTGTGCGCTCCATTTTTGGGACTTCGTTTTGGGCTTTGCTCCCATCTCAACGCCTCAGCTATCGATGAGACATGGAGTTCGATTCAGGCGCATCACCGGTACTTGGGATACCACCACCGCCCGTAGATCTGTTCTAAAAAGAAGGGCTAAAAAATCTGTCAATGTAGCGGTACTAATCACAAAAAGCAATTTGCTGGCGGTTGTGTGAAAAGCTCATTTGGAGAGGTACTGACTCCAGTCCCAGGAAAGTTTTGGTATTCGGAGGAGGGGAATGCTTCTTAACCGCTGGCACCGAAGGTTTACTTGTCTTGTATTTTGGGCCCTTATAAAAGTTGATCAGACTTGAGTAATGGGCTTACATGACATTTTATTTTAATCCAACTGTGAAAAATTCGGCGACCTCAGTGGAATTCGGACGGATGCACGTCAGCAAGGGGAAGGTCTTAGTACAGCCAACGCTCTAGCCACCTGAGCTACGAGGCCCAACTGGCAGCCGTGAGTTTAATCCCATTTGGGTCAAGTTACTCGCCCGGCCTACTGCAACATATGGAATCCACTAAATTTAATAAAACTGACCGCCCAAGCAGAATTTCCCAGCTAATCCATGTAGAGCTCACCCGATTACTACGAGACTCACGTATTTAATAGGTGTTTTGGCGTGTTTTGCTGTCGTGGGTTCAAATCCCGCCCGCGCCCATCGGATGTGCTGCATCAGTCAAAAGTTGCGGTTTGTGTAGGAAGTTTGAGGAACAGTTGTTGGACCGACTAGAAGGTGGACCGCCTTGAACTGTCATGACACACCTGATTGACCCTCGTCGCCATCGCGAATGATCCACGAAACGGCGTATTGCCACTGAAAGACCCAAGGACGACGGCTTTCTATGTACAAAAACCCGTAGGTAGACTGTTTATAGCCCGACATGAGTTTGCCAGACTCCTTTATTTTTCGCTTAGCGTTGTGTATCCCCCTTCCTCGCCGACTTCAATCCTCCTCCCAAATTCTCGTCTGTGAACCTTGCGCGCACTCTCTCCCAACCCACACCAGAGTCCTACGTTTCCCTCGTCACCGTGATTGGCTGTCATAACTATCCAATTCCAGTACCTATAAGATTGTGGGGAAATAGGTAGAATATTGTCAAAGGCGACAGTTTTTCAAATTTTATTCTGGGTTTCGAACGCTGCGTGCCGGCTCATTCGGGTCACAACGTTTTCAGTAAGTTGGGCTGAAGATGCAGGCATGATGGGATGATAGGCAGGCCCTCATAGGTGTCTTCTGATCGGCAACCCCGCTCGTTTTTGGTTTTTTTTAACTTCGCGGTGTATTTGAACGAGGAACACGCCGAGGCTGCGCACGGCAGCACTAGACCTGGTCCAACGCCGGTGTGGACTCCCCATCAGTAGTAACACTGATGTGGTCCACTGTCAGACCCTGGAGGAGGAATATGTTCAGACTGATCGGTAGAGACTCTGGAATGTCATCTACGTTGCTGTTGTTGTTGCTGCTACTGCTGAAGTCATCAGTTATACCCACTGAAAACTTCGGGGCTTGTTTGATAACGAAACAGTAACCAATATCCGTAAAATATCCAACTTCAAGTGATCTGCGTTAGCAGCAATTCCCAAGGTAACGCCACATACTTCCAGCGCTGTCGCTCGCTGGGACAGAAGCTGAGGGTGTTCCGAAATAATTCGTTAACTGTCAAGACGGGTGAAGTCCGTGGATACGCAAGTCATTGTAAGATAATGAATTTCCGTGCAACCACTAAAGCAGCTTACGACGCTGAAACGTCCGGAACTGCGTCCCTGCCTAGCTCGGATGAAACAACCCTGCTGCCGGGGAAGTCAGCATTGGGCCGAACGCTGTGTGCATTTTGGGGATTTCAAGGAAGCAACCGCTGTTATACAAGCGCAAAGGAAACCGGCAAGTCTGTGACATTAGCCAGCATCCTTCCTCTGGTTATTGTCGAAAAAATGTCGCCCCAGTACTAATCAGTTGTGCGAATTTTCTCCGGAAGAACTTACTTCCCACGGGTAAGTGTGGACTGTGGAAAACCGTGTAAGCACTGACAACTGCGACAAAAGTTCTTGAAAGTGTGGCCTGGCCTGTGCACTAACTTCGTGCCACTTCACGAAGCCTTCAACATCGTCAACCGCGACGAATTCTGTGCAGGAAAACTAGGTCCTACTCAGGACTGAGGATGAGGCTGCTACGTCTACTTTTAAGCATGACTGTAATGGTCCTCACGCTGGTGAGATTCGAGGCCCCCTCCATGAGACCTAGTGCGTGAGGATATAGGACTAGGTCGGGTATGGCACTCGCAGTCACCGCATCCCATCTACTGTCCGTCCGGCCTGACGGGTCCGGACAGGGCGTTGATGCCTGAGAGAAATTGGAAGGAGAGTGAAGCCAATACCGACGAGTCCATCCTCAGGGTATATCAGTGTATTCCTCACTATAATCATTCGGACACGCTTGAACCTATCACGCTGTGCTGAAAATAGTGTCAAGGCTGGTTGCTAGATGATGGGGAAAACTCGCATTACCGCTGGAACGAGATCAAGCCGGTGACTTTGTAAGATTCGTCTTCTCCTTCTTTGAAGCCGATTTGTGTGTATTTAGGGGTCAAGTTATATAGGAATAACATTTACGGCCTATTTAACTTTATTAAATATTGTGCTGGCCTCCTATCAACTTATCTTAACCTTGACTTTCCACCTAAGCTCGTTTAGTGCGAGAATAGAAAGTGGTCTATGTACAGCGAGAGTCTATTTCACTGCATGCAGATTAGTCGCAAGTCACGACTGTGCCCACTTCATGGGTCAGTGGTGGGCCTCGTTGCTTCCATTGTCCACTATATCAAGTATCACGCACGCACGAATTAACGGAACTGGGCCAAATTAGGAGATTTCCACAAACGACTTTTATGTTTCCATAGATCAGTGAGATACTGCACGTTTTGCAAGCCCCCATTGACTCCTGCTACACCTGACCTCTATTTTTTACTCATAAACATGGTACTACACGAATCCCAGTGGACCGCTATTCATGACGCCCCACTAGTCACACTTCATGGTCCATCACCCGAAGTCGATGTTTAGCTGCTAAAGCCGTCGACGATTTCAGCCCAATAGAGGCTGCTGGGACGATAGGTCCGGTAGGTAGGACACGAGAATGGGTACCCCTCGTCAAATTTGACGCAAGGCCGCCTGCACTACCGGGGAGTTCCAATTTCCGTGCCCTACCGTCCGGCGAGGGATCCCTTGGCACCAGAATAATTTGGTTTGCGCAAAAGATTTCTCAGCCAGACCCTTACCTTTGCACGTACACCAAACGTCACCCTAAATAGTGCTCTTCGTGCACAGCGTTCCGTAATAAAATCGAACTCCCTCTCTGTGTAAATGCGGTCATATAGTTCTTTCTTCCTCAATTGCTACTTTATAAAGCAGCCTCCTGTACCCAAGCTTGTTAGGCTAGTCCGGCAAGCGTCCACTCGAGCTGTACCATAGCTCCTCGTCTGTAAATAGCGCTCCGTTCATTCAGAAGTGTACTTCAAGCTTTTGACTGCTTGGAGTAATTTAAGCGTAATCTGATCTCTATCGATGCTTTCATCCCAACAGAGGCTATGCATCAGCTTAAAGGCTCTTCTCTGTGATCACTCCGTAACATTAAACAGCGTATATCCGGAAGAAATAGGCTTTGCCACCTATTCTATAGGCAAAGGTGTCCGGTGAACTTCTACATAACCAAATGAGAAACAGGGAATGCAGTCGATACAGGCAACTGAAGGCGGCTTACCGTCAATTTGAGTAGATAGAGAGAATCCAGTGAGGAAATTACCATGACTCTCGAAGAAGGAGACACGATGACTGAAACAAGCACTTGATTAGCCTGATGTTTCTAATTCACCCTAGAATGTATCACCAGAGACAAAATCGGATAGGGGTAGTATGCTGCACAGAGTTTGCAACACTTCTAGGATGCAGTTGCTATACCACTGCATGCCTATCGAAATTGGCGGCTCCCGAGTTCATCGTAGATAGCTGCAGGTGGTGCAGTTATGGCTCAGTGGGCTAACTGTTGCAGTATGCAGTTGTCATGCCCTAGCACACAGCGAAATGGGGTGGTTGTATATGGCGCGATAATTGCTTAAATGGCCAGGTGTTGCCGTATGCAGCTGCTATGTCCTTGAAAATACCCGCAATGGGTTTCGAGAGCCGTCAATTTTAAAAGATATACAGTGGCATAGCAACTCCATCCTATGAATGTTGCAGCATCTGTGCAACATATTACTTCTATCCGATTCTGTCTCTGGTGATAAATACAAGTGTGAATCCGAAGCGTCAGGTGAATAAAGTTCTTGTTCCTGCAATCGCGTCTCCTCCTCGTCTGCCTCCTGGAACTCGCCCCTTCGGTACTATGGCTCTGTCGGTAAACATGAGAAGCACAGGAAACGTATAAATGTACTTGAAGAAAGGGATGAGGCTGACACCGAATTCGGCGTTCAATCCCTCCCTCTAAGCCGGTTGGCAAGCCGCCAGAATCTTTTGTACGGAAGATCGGAAATGCATGCTCATTTCTCCGGATGGATAATTTATGCCAGTTGCAGTGCCCCTTCATCTATCACACCTGAGACTGAAAAAAGGCTCCAAGTACAGACGCAGAGCGCCCAATTCTTGCTCTCGTTGTAGATCAACTCCTGTGCAGCTTTTTCAACGCTGGCCTTAAAGTGGCTAACTGCTCAAGCGGCTGGCAGCAAAATAACTTTCTCTCAGCGAAATCAATGCAGTATGCAGGGCCATGGAGAAATCCCTCCTTAAACGAACCTGTTCTTTCCTTAACCAACAGCAAATGTAGCCGCTAACTAATCTGCTCTGCTTGAAGCACGGGTACCAACTAAAAGCGCAGAGAAGCGTTTCGCCCACTTTATCTTG